CTTCATCCCTGACAACACATCTCTGATATTGTTTCTTTTAAGTTTACTCTCCAGCTTCCTTCTATAAACCTCCTTGCTGTCTCTGATCTTGACTTTGAGCTGCTTCTGTATACTCCTCAATAACTCCCTGTCTCGATCCCTAAAGGCTCTTTTTTTCTTGTTTAACAGTTCCTTTAGCTCACTGGTGATCCAGGGTTTGTTATTAGGAAAGCATCTCACTGTTCTGCTGGGGATGGTGTTGTCCACACAGAAGTTTATATAGTCAGTCACACACTCAGTCATGGCATTTATGTCATCCCCATGTGGCTGGCAAAGAACAATCCRATCTGTAGCTTCAAAACATCCCTGTAGGGCTTCTTCAGCTTCCTGTGACCACTTTCTCACAGTCCTTGTAGTTACAGGTTGTCTCTGAACAAGTGGTTTATATTCTGAGTAGAGATAAACAAGGTTGTGATCTGAATTACCCAGAGGAGGTCTTGCATTGGCTATATAAGACTCCTTAACATTTGTGTAAAACAAATCCAATGTCTGTATTTCTCTGGTAGAGCAGCTGACAAACTGTTGAAATGGTGGCAGTGTTGCACAGAGTGAGGCATGATTAAAATCACCAGATATTGCCACAAATGCATTGGGGTGTTGTGTCTGAATCTTAGCAGCAACGGAATTGAAGATATCACATGCATTGTCAGCAACAGCTGAGGGTGGAATGTAAACAGCTGCCAAAATAACACTGTTGAACTCTCTTGGTAAATAATATGGACGAAAACCTACTGCCAAGAGTTCAATGTCTGGACTGCAGTGATGAAACTTCACAGTAACATGTCCTGGATGACACCATCAGTTGTTGACAAGCACTGCTAATCCACCTCCTTTMTTTKTCCCRCTGCTCTTTAAATCTCTGTCTGCTCGTATAGTCTGGAAGCCTGGCAGAGAGATGTTGGCATCAGGGACATGATCCTGCAGCCATGTCTCAGTGAAACACATAATACTGCATTCCCTATACTCTTGCTGAGTCCTTGTCAGGGCTTGAAGTTCATCCAATTTGTTAACTAATGATCTCACGTTGCCTATTAGGATTGATGGAAGTGATGGTTTGAACTTCCTCCTTCTCCCTCGCCTCTTTGTTCCAGCTCTGCATCCACGATGCCTCCTTTTCAACTCCTCTGGGATTTGCGGCTTCAGTTGTATTATTTCAGATTTTGCAATATTAATCAGCTGCTCCCTGTTGTAAACCACCCTTTTGCTATGGTTACGCATCATAACAAAAAGCAAAGTATAAAAAAAGTATTGGCGAAAACCAATCCAGCTGCACAGCACCCAAAACACAAATGAACAGCCGTCCAAAAAAGTTACTTTTTCTGCAGAAAGGCAGGAATGAATGCCTGAAAAGAAAAGAAAATCTCGATAAAAGTAACAGAGCTACTCCAACGTGCTGCCACCCTCAGCGGCGCAATTCCGGAACAATGTATAATGTACAATACAATACAATAATGTATCCATTCAAACTGTTGTTGGAGAAGGACTTGATGTTTTTGTTTTGTTTTTATTTTTAGATTACATTATAGATTTATTTTTCGTTCTGCTGCCTTTCATTTTATTTGTAATTTGTAATTTTTTATTGTCTATAGAATTTATTTTGTTTTTTTAAATGAATAAAACTTCGAAATATAAACAAAGTACTTTTATATGCATACTTTACTTAAAGAATCAGAGTATAAACAAGCTGGATTTCTGCTTTTTCAGGTAAAGATACGTTTAAAGTGAAGATAAGCCCACTGGACCAGAAGGAGTACCTCCGTGTGCACGTCCCCCCACCTCTGGACAGAGGAGACGGGTCTTTCCTGGTCCGGTACCGCCTGTACGGGTCCACGGTCCAGGGTCTGAAGGTGGAAGTCCTCCACCGTGATGCTGCTGTGGCCCGCTCGCCCTACGTTCTCCAAGGTGAGGTGTGCACCGACAGGAAGAGGAAATGATGCGTGTGCGTATTTCTGTTGCACATTGATGATGTCACCTGTTAAAATCAAGAGTTTCCATGATGAAACCCAGAAAACGTTTTTTTTTCCCCGGTCAGGTCCAGTTTTTCATGAATACTGCGACTGTCCCGAGGAGGACGCGTCCATCTGGCAGAGCGTCATGCAGTGTCCCACAGAGGAGCCCCAGATCCTGGAGGACTTCAAGTCTTTCCCCTCCGTGGACCTGAACCGTCTCAGACAGGAAGTGCCTCGCAGGTTCACCAACAGAGGCGGGCTGGTTCACTACGCCATCCTGGACAACAAGGTGTACCGGCGCACGCTGGGCAAATACACCGACTTCAAGATGTTCTCTGACGAGATGCTGCTGTCTCTAACGAGGAAGGTGGGATTCTCGGCGGTTAGTCGTTTGTTTTTACACTTTGCTGCCAGAAGGTTTATTTTTCTGTCCTCTTCTTCTGTTCTGGGCCTGAAGGTGAGGCTTCCTGACGTGGAGTTCTTCATCAACGTGGGCGACTGGCCGCTGGAGACGAGGAAGGACGGGGCCGTCCCCATCTTCTCTTGGTGCGGCTCCACGGACACGCTGGACGTGGTCCTGCCCACGTACGAAGTCACGCACTCCACGCTGGAGACCCTGAGGGGCGTCACCAACGACCTGCTGTCTGTCCAAGGCAACACAGGTGACCCACACTGTTCTGTTTATAGCAGATGTGTGTTAAAATATGATTAATATGTTTGTTTTTAGGCAAAAAGCTGGTTGGAATGTGTTAATATAGCTCTTACAAATTAAATAAATATATTTATAGTTGTTGGAAAGAGTTCAGGGGTGTCGAACTCATTTTCACCAAGGGCCACATGAGCCTCATGGTGGCCCTACACCGGCCTTGAGTTTGACACATCCATCCATCCGCTTCATGTTGAGGTAGAATATAAAGTTTATTTACATAAACTGAAACCTCAACATGTCTGCAGTGAGAAACAACTCATCAGTCAAACTAGAGGTTGGAGCCAGATTTAATCCTGAAAGTTGAAGTGACACGACTTTCTGGTCTGAAAATATTTTCATTTCTTTTTTTATTTATTTATTTTTATGAGTAGGGACAAGTGTCAAGTATTAACAATGCTACACACTACAACATTTATAGCCAGAGCTAACTTGCAATGCCTGTCCCTAGATGGCTGTTAGCAACATGAAATTAAAGTGTAAAATACAGTCACAAATTAAAACATCACAATATTAAAACTCACTAACAAACTCATAAACCAACTTAAACACAAATCATTAAAAATGACATTTTTCATAACAAAGGTAACAAAAACAAAACCTTTATTTTATTTATTTATTTCTAAAACCTTAAATGGAAAAAGGATTGATCATAGTGATGTTTCTAGTGTCCACCAGGGGGCCGCATCAAATGTTTATAATTTTAAATCGGTTTATTTATAAAACTCAAACTGCACCATTTCATAGCTCTTCTTAAAATTAAATGCAGAACAATCAGTATATTATTCATTATATACAGAGTTTTGTCACATAATAACTCTTACTTTATACAACAATGCAATTGATTTGCTTAGCTATTTTTATTTGTAAGTAATTTATGAGATGCCAGCTTTTCATCAATGATACCCAAAAATTTTATTTCACTAACTAAACAAATTTCAGTATCATTGATGTAGAAAGGAACTTTGCTAGTTTTCGTTCATACAACTTGTTTTATCCAAATTCATTGATCATTTTTAAATTTGAAACCAAGTTTGTACCATCCTAAATTCTGTCTGTATCACCTCCAACATCTGTTCAATGTTTTCACCAGAATGAAAAAGAGTCGCGTCATCGGCAAACATTAACATTTTAAAAACTTCGACACATCGGCTAAATCATTCACATATAAAATAAACAGTTTTGGTCCGAGCACAGAACCCTGAGGAACTCCACAACTAATACATAATTCAGATCTTACATTGTTTACTTGAACAAACTGTTTCCTGTTTTTCAAATGACTAGTTATCCAAGTTTTCCTGTTAATGTCCGGTCTACCTTCCACCAGGGCCTCCGTGGGCTAATAAAACCGAGCGGGCGTTTTTTCGCGGTCGGGACAGTCGAGAGGAGCGTCTCCAGCTCGTCTCTCTCTCCAAGAAAAACCCGGAGCTGCTGGACGCCGGCATAACAGCGTGGTTCTTCTTCAGGGACCGAGAGAAAGACGTGGGCAAAGCACCGCTGGTTGGATTCTTTGACTTCTTTAAGGTCGGGAAATGTCTTTTTTTTTTTTTTTTTTTTTGCAGCCCGAAATAAAAATGCATCAGATAGTTAAAAGAAAAGTGAATTTTCATCTCCTATGCAGCACAAGTACCAGGTGAACGTGGACGGAACCGTCGCAGCGTATCGGTTTCCTTACCTGATGCTGGGGAACAGCCTGGTCCTGAAGCAGGACTCGCAGTACTACGAACATTTCTACAGCCGCCTAAAGGCAGGAAGTCACTACGTCCCCGTGGAGAGAAACCTGTCGGACCTTTTGGAGAAAATCAAATGGGCCAAAGAGCACGACGCCGAGGCGGAGCAGATCTCCCGGGCGGGACAGGAAGCAGCCAGAGAGCTGCTGCAGCCCAGCAGGTTGTACTGTTACTACCACAGGGTCCTGCAGGAGTACTCGCTCCGACAGAGCGGACCGCCGGCAAGACTCGCCGACATGGAGCTGGTGCCGCAGCCGGACGATCACGCTGCCGCGTGCACGTGCACACGGGGCGTCAAGCCTGATAATGTGAAGGACGAACTCTGATCAACTTTTTAATATTTCCTTTTTTTAATTTTATATAAAACATTCCTGACAAAAAATGAAAGTGAAGTGAAGCGAAGTGAAAGTTTTGTTTGTTGCTTCTTCTTTGACGGAGAAATTACTTTTGTTAAAAGTTATCTAATCTTGTCTTTCAAAGTATTGCTGTATGGTATGGAGGACCGAATCTGACATAATTAGAAATAAAAGCAGAAATATACAAAGGGACCAATAAATAAATAAAAACACCTAAAATGCACCAATTAAATTAAAAAAGAACTTTACTCCATGTTTTACAATTTAATTTACCTTCATATTTATTTTTCCAGATTTGTTCTAATAAATAATGTATTTTAGAACACAATTTACATTTTACAGTTTTTTTAAAATATATTTTATGTTTTTTCCTTTTACTTGTGCATGCATTTGTCTCCTTAATTATTGTATTTAATTATTTTTCATATTTTTTTCACAAATCTTATTTTTTATTTTTGCTTTTACATTTCTCTGTCTCCTGTTTTAATTTATCTTATGCATTTCTGCCTCATTGTGTAAATAATGTGGGCGGAGCTTCTTGGGTCAGCTCCTCTCCTATTGGTCAACAGACAGGAAGGAGGAGGATCCATGTGCAGATCTACTGTGCTGCTGCAGGTTTAGATGAAAACAAAGACAGGTATTTGTTTTCCTCCTTGTCTTTGTTTTAATTTAAACTTTTCTCTAAACTGAGGCGTTAAGCTCCACAGTTTATTTAACAAACCAGTTTCTTGCATTTTAAGTGTATTTATTTCTTTATTGGTCCATTTATATATTTCTGCTTTTATTTCTAATTATGTCAGATTTGGTCCTGCATAGATTTTTTTTAAATAACCTTAATGAATTCAGGTATTTTTTTTGTAAGATTAAATGAAAACATTCCTTGAATGAACACCAGAGTTTAAAACTAAGATTTTTTAGTTGTTTTGGTTAAACCTTGAAAATAACCTCAAGAACAACAAGGTTGTTATTTTGCCTGCAACAATAAATAGTTTAATGAGCTGAAAATTGCACAAAAGGTTTGCGAAAACAACAAAAAGATCTAAATTTGATTAATTTGTAAGAAATGACATCAAAAACGAGTTTTAACCGATTAAAAAATGTAGTTTGTTTATCTTGGTAACACCTCCTGTTTTGGTTGTAAAGCAGTATTAAAACAGCTAAATCAGCTAAATTTAATAATCAGAGTGAGCGGCTCGCTTTTTTTGTTGTTAATAATCGATCGCATCATGTCTGAGGATTTATGGAAAGACTTTGAACCTTTGAAGAAGTTCTCAACCAAAGCTCTGTCGATCCGCTTGCACTTGGCGACGGCCACCTCCATGTTGTTGCTGAGGACCCCGTAGATGTTCCCCCCGTCGTGGCTTCTCCCAAAGAACAGGAAGAGGGCGTAGCAGTCCCTGCCCACGGAGGCGCAGAACTCCACCAGCCTCTCGTAGCCGTTCTTGCTGGACTCCACCCGGGCCATCTTGACGGATTCGGACTTGGCCTCGTCCGCCGCGCCCTCCTCCTCCGCCTGGGTCTCCCTGCCGGGCAGGTGGACCACCCGCACGGCTATCTGGATCTTCGGGTTCTTGGTGGGCTTCTCCAGCACGGCCCACACCCAGTCGGCCCCCAGGAGGACGCGCTGCTCCGGGGTCATGAGGGTGCAGTTGAAGGCGTCGGTCAGGTTGAGGCTGAAGCTCTGGGACATGTAGGTCATCAGGAAGACCTGTAGAAGGAAGACCGGTTAAAGACCCCGACACAGGTTTCCTCAGACTTTAACGGAGCACAATGATCCAACCTGAGTCAACACCTGAGGACTCGGGTGGAACCGTTCCTCCGGGTCTTTGAAGACCAGGTACTCCTGGGTTCTGGTGGACGCAGCAGAGATGCAGCTGCTGACGAGAGACAGGAAGTCTTTGGGGGGCGCCGTCAGCTTGGCTGAGAGATCTTGGTTTTTATTGGAGGGGGGCTGTTTGGGGGGGCTGGATTTAAAAGGGAACAAGTTCCTGAAGGGGTTAGAATCGATGCTGACCTTCTGACCCATGTCGATAAGCTGCAGGAGGTCAGATGGAGGTCTCCCTGATGAACTGAAAACATGGAGGTTGTACAAAATGAAAAGTAAAATGTACAAACATGAACTCAGATTTCAAAAAATCTGTTAATTCATGATTATACATGAAGTCCAGGTTGGCCCTTTTTTAATAAATCATTTAAAAAACTGTGTGTTTTAATCAGAGGTCTTTGAAGTACTGGGGGGATACGGAAAAGTACAAATACCTTAACAGAAAAGGTCTGGTAAAAATAAATTTGTTTGAGCAGCAGCAACAAAAAAACTGATTTTGAGGAAAAACGCCTTAAAAATTAGAATTTTCCCTCGTGAGCAATGTTTTTGTTTCTTTCCAACTGGGAAATCCTAATATACAAATACTATTTGAGGTTTCTTCTTTATATTGACATMAAAAATTACTCAATAAATTTACATAAAATTAGGATTCAGACCAAACCTTAATGTATTATCATAACCAACAAGACAAATTAGGTCATATTTCCAGAAAAGTTTATGATATCAGAATGATCCAGGTATCAAAATGTAGCTTTTAAAGCAGGAATCTGAAAATGTAGTTAGGTCATTTTGACCAAATTTGACTTAATCCTCATTTCGATATGATGGGTCACAAATAGCTTTTTGTAAATTACTTTTGTTTTAATTTATATATATTTTTTCTTCTCTCTGCTGCCTTTCATTTTATTTATATTTTCTTCTCTTGTGTATAGAGTTTGTTTTTTAATGAAATGAATATATTTTTAAAATATATATATATTTTTAACATTTGCTGGCAGTTCATTCCATACAGTAAGTGTGTTCCTGTGATTGACATCACCTTTCACCCAAACACCGCCCTCCGTCTTGCAACAACACAATCCCCTCTAGTTTGAGACAGTATTCACTCTGGATATAATTATCAATATAGTTTAAACTCTTCTGACCATCAAACATCGACTCACCAGGATGGGTCTGGGTGTGCCTGCTGGTCCAAGTCTGCTCCCAGTTCTGGTCTCCCGACCCCTGCCCTGCTGAGACACACAACGTCCCTCCGTCTGTGTCTCTACGTTCACGACATTTAGGAGTGGGAAAAGTTTTCAGGTGGAAGAAAAGAAAAGTCTCTGAGCGCCTGGGTGTGGTGTTTTTACAGCCTGCAGCTGGGCGAGTCAACAAAAGATTCACCTCCTGTTACCTGTCAGTAAGCCTGCAGGGACTGATCAGCAAACAGGATGCTTACATGTCTCTTTTCGCAGGGAACAGCCAGGAGAGGCCTCTCAGACTGCAGCTCATGGGAGGTTCCTTTTTCTAAGAACGAAGGAGTTCTAACCAGAGGTTTCTTTCTAAAACCACTCTTTCCTGTCAGATAAATGTCACGTCACTTCCTAGTTATCAAAAAGAAAAAATCAGTAGGTCCTCTGGATGGTTCTTCTTTAGTGAAATGTTTCATCTCTCCTCCAAGAGACTTCTTCAGTCTGATGAGTTTCAGGTGAACTCGGCCTTATAAGCTCCGCCTCCACATGGACAAACAGGTTAGTCACGTGCAAAAGAGGGTCATCGCCTAACAATAGGCTTGATTAGCTCTATTGTTCACAGAGGGTCATGTGCCCCATCACCTGACCCGTGTCGTGTTATGTGAATGTAGTGAATGCAAGCGGGGTTCAAAGTCCCCTTGTTTTTGTCCCTATTTCCCTCTTTGTGTTGGGTATCCTTGGGGCTCTGATTCACACATTTTGCTCACAGGGGGCGGAGTCATACTTGCAATAACAGCGTTGTAGGAGGAGGACAACTGTGATGGCGTTACATGAGGTGACAGAGGTTACAGGAAGTGAGCCGGCTCCACGCCGCAGGTTTGATTCCCACTCTGCAGGTCTCTGTGGCGGGGTCATGCTGAGACCACCTCAGCTCCTTCCACGGCTGGTCCCGGCTCAGCAGGTACTGGAGGCAAAGCATCATGGGAGTGTGGAACGTGTCAGAGAGCTGAGCTGGGATCAGCAGAAGCAGCTTTAATGTAGTTTTAATGCGCAGCAATCAAACACCACAGAGGCTTTTTTTTCTCCTCATTTGGCTTCATTTATTATAAAAAAACCATCTTAAAAACCATCTGGTTTCTGACAAAGATTTATGAAGAAAGTTTTATTTGCATAAAGAGAAATTCTGCCTTTCAGTGTAGAACTGATCCCAGGTCAGCCATGCATTTCAGTTATTTGGCTTTGACAAAATACAGCACTGTGCAAAAGTCTTGAGTCATTTTTCATACCCTTCCTTCCAAGAAGCCAAAATTAATTTTAACAATTCGTTCTGAAGACTTTCTGAAACTTTTGCTGCTTTTTTTATAGGGTTTGCCAAGTGCAAAATAAAAATAATCACTAAAATTTTTCATTATTTAGCTCACTTTTTGAGTGTTAAACATTTTCCACTAACATTTTATTGTTATTTGACCCACTGTTCTTACATTCAACTATTTTTTTTACTAAATGTTAAATTAAAATGTTTAAAAAATATGTATCTGTTTGAATCTAAATCTTAAAAGTTAAACCTTAATTTTTGAAGTGCTCTGCTCATGTTATGACATCATCATCCTGAGACAATAACCGCTAGTGCTCCAAAGCAGCTAAAGCTTCACTACAAGACATCAAACATGCAGTTATATGTGTCCGAGCTGCACTTTAAACAACTGGACCACAGAGACCACCCATATTCTTTTTATGAGCACATTTTGAATTTAGATTTTACATTTAATCTTCAGCAGTGTTTGCAGCGGCTAGCGGTGGCTAGCAGCGGTTGATATTTGTCGCAGAATGATGACATCATCCTGGTTTGCTTCCATTCCAAAATACCTAAACGTGAACTTCAACATTTAAGGTTTAACTTTTACATTTAGATTTAAACATTTAGGGTTTAAAGTGCCTGTTACATCATTTTTTTGTAATAAACATGAATGCATTTTTGGAAAGATAACACTGATAACATGTTGCAAAACTAATTTCACGTCGCTCAGATGAACAGTTGTTGAGATATTTGCCTGTGAAGAAACAGGAAGTGATGTCAAAGGGGAATATCTGCATGTAAACAGAGCGTTGTTACAAAAGCTAACAGACTGTAGAGAAGAATCTGATGTTTCTTTAGATAATTTTTAATGGCTATCAAAGAGAGACAAAGAAGGGTTAAAATTTAAACAATTTTGTTTTAATAAACAGAGACCAGTGAGTTTATTTTATTAATGAGTTCCCCTTTGATGCCACTTCCTGTTTCACTTTGGTTGAGCCAAATCCAAAAGAAAATAGGCCAGTTATGTGACAAAATGGGTAAAATCATGTGTACTATGCCAATTTTCTTAAGTATAAAAATGCTTTCTTTGATTTTTAGTATCTGAAGGATAGGCATGTCACAAGCACTTTAATATTATATATATTTTTAACATTTAAACTGAACATTTATCAAAAATTAGCTAAACGCAACAACAGAGAGCTAACAAAATGTTTATAAATTTATACAAACATTTTAACAATCAAAAAGTGAGCTAAATAATGAAAAATATGTTAGTGAATGTTTTTAACATTTAATTTTACACATAGCATCATTTTCAGAGAAATTTTTGTTTAAAAAGTTATCTCACCCTTTTGTGTGACAAATCTGAACTTATCTTTAAAAAGGTCAGATTTTTTGTAATTTTGCATTGCTAAAGTTGATTTTGTTTTAATACCAATGAAATCTGATCAGTTGTTTCTGAGCTATTTTACTCTGATAATCAAAACAACACATAAACTGAGATAAACAAATGATTGGCCTCATGGAAATAAAGCAGCCAAAGTCTAAAGGAAAACTTTAAAACACCTTTAAAAAGCCATAATATGGTTTGACTTCTTTACAGTTCTGTATTTTATGTTGCAATGGGATTATAAAGAAAAAAAATGAAATAAAGCTCATTATTTGTGATGTTTGCTCCTGTTTATTAGAACTGAAATCTTCATAACTACAGGTTTTAGATGGTTTGAGACCAAATACTACATGTTGGTCATCCAAAGCTTCACGAAGCACAGCTGTGAGATGACAGTAAGGAACGTAAAGCTAAGCAAGTTTCACACCAGCAGTCATCGTTTCCCACTCAGCTGCAGCGTTTTAACCACGTCTCTCCCTCCGATTATCAGCAGATTTTTCGATCGAGGAGGCCCGAGCTTCTGTTCTGACAAACCGCAAGCAGCGAGTCACACGAGTCGTTAAGCAGCAGCTTGTGTGTGTTGGCGCTTACTGTGAGGTTGTTGATGCTTTCAGACAGAGCCTCTATTTGCAAAATGGTGCTCTCTGCATTCACCATCTGCAACACACAAACACGTCTAATTTTAAAAAGTTTGGATGTTGTGTAAACGTTAATAAAACTTCGTGATTAACTCACAATTTGTTTAGAATGAAACAAGGCAGACGTATCTAATATTAAAGGGATCCACGATTAGTTGTAACATTAGACTTTATTTGATAAACATATATTTTAACTGTAATAAAGACTAAAAATACTGTTTAGTTTAGTACATTTTAAAATATATATTTTAACATGGACGGAGCCATTTTATTTACACGCAAAGCATTCTGGGTAAATGATGACGTCGACAGGTCATAGGTGCGAGGCTTTGAGTAAGCTACAACGGTGTATTAGGGCCACTTTGCAGATGAAAAAAAAGGAGGCGCAAATCAATGAGAAAAAAATTCAGAATTTCTGAGATTTTCAGAAATTTTCGAGAAAAAAACAAGGAAACTCTTATTTTGAAAAGTCATAAATTTGCAAGGGAAAAAAAACTAAAAAATTTCCATAATTAAAGGCAGAAATTTGTGACATTTAAACTACAGTAAATATTTTCTGACATGGTAAAGTCAGAAATACAGAGCTGCTTTATGGAAGAACCTCAGCTTAGCCTGTTAGCTTTAACGTTAGCACTGACACTATATTGCCTTATAAACAATATATTAGCTCAGCGCTAGCGCTACAAACTAACAAGCTAAACTGTTGTCCTCCATCCATATTTTCAGTTCCAGGCTGAGCCATTTCTACCTTCTCCTCTCTGTCAACGCTCTCTGGTTTCATTTAAAAGAGTCGATCATCATTTACCCAGAATCCTTTGCATGTAAATAAAATGGCTCCATTCGTGTAATGTTTTTAAAAGTTTAGTTTAAAAATTAAAATAGCCTAAAGTATTCTTACAGTCTTTATTTTACAGTTAAAATAAATGATTATCAGAGAAAGTCTAATGTTACAACTAACCGCGGATCCCTTTAAAACAGTAATCACAGGATACTTTGTACCTGCAGCTGAACACTGAGCCACACTCATCGGTCAGTCGAGGGTGAAGCGGTCGTCATAAACAGCCATGACAGACATCATGAGGAAGAGGAGGAGGATGAAGGCAGGTTAGTGGACGATGCAGATTACTCAGACATGCAGTCTCCACAGAGCAGCTCCAGTTATCTTATATAAAGGCAGCTGTGTCAGTTCATTTTTGTGATTTGCATTGATTTTAGAGACATAATAAAATGCATGTTTTCTAGAGAAATAAACTTTACACACGTATGATTTAGTTTATTAAATGATTTTTATAAATCTCAACATTTACATGATATGTTCTGCAAATTTGCAATGCTATAAAAATACTATTACAGTTAATTATGAAAATTATTTAAAAACAACAACTCAAGTGTCATACAAAACATGATTCATCCTGGTTAACCTTGTAGTGTCATAAATAATAAATAAAATGATGCAAATATTGCACAGGTTCGACTCAGAGAAGGTTGAAGGTGTGGCTGAGTTCTTGGCACAGGTCTGAGGTTAGTGAGGCATCGCACCGCAAAATAACAAAACACTTCAAGTGTGTATAATCCACGACGTCTCAGAGCACCCTGCAGTGCATCGGGGGAGGGGGGGAGTAAGGCACAGGTGGGGCTGATGGGCGGGGTTTAAAGGAGCAGGGAGGGGGTCTGGTTAAGGTATCAGGGGGCTGCAAGCAATAGAAGCCAAACTGCAGCATCTGACTGGCTCATGGAAAGCTTAGCCGTTCGTGGTTTTTGACACGTCATCATGGAATCGTGTCGGCTTTAGTCTCCTCGTGCCCCACCTGGTCCCTGGTGGGCTCCCGGTCCAGGATGGGGCTCAGACCCCTGAAGCCGACAAACGGACGCGCCTGTATCCCGTTTGGCGCCGACTGTCCGGACTCGGGCGGGGACGACTCGATGGGACAGACGTAGTCCGTGGACTCGTCGGGTCGTCTCCTCCTGAGGTGGGTCAGGTTGGAGAAGCCCAGCTTCTTTGGCTGCAGAAAACGAGAAAATAAAAATATTTTTATTGTGTCACTCAGAGCTTTTTAAACTTTTGTTTCATTAAACTTGTTGGGAGAAAAGTTGGTAAAAAAAATTCCTCAGATTTGCAAGAAATTTGTGAGAAAATTTGTCAATTTTTCATTGCAGTCTCACCAAACTCTGTTAACCTTCGCCTGGTTAGTACTTGGATGGGAGACCGCCTGTCTCTACAAACTTCACCTCACTGACAACTGATCTCATCACCATCGACTCTAATTTGAACATCCACAGTTCTCTTTCTATAACTACTGAATATCAGTTTTTTTGTTTTTGTGAAGCAACGTCTGCTGTTTGTCTCCGGTTTTATCTGTTAAAACAGCGAGGAGGAAAAGTTCTGCGTGGCGCAGCGCAGCTAGAAACTAGCGCTGCTGCCCCTCCTCCTCTAAAGAGCAGAACCGGGTGGATGAAAGTCAGCAGACATGCGCACTCAGGTCAGTTTTCCACAATCAGAATAAGATGATCCGATTAAGTGTTTACATGCACGTCATTCCGATTATCAATCGGCATAACTCACCCCTCATTCGGATTACAAATTCATTCGGATCGAGCTCAATCGAATCAGAATAATCCGAATGGGCTGTTTACATGATGCATTTTTATTCCGAACGTCCGTTTAGTCCGATTACTTATGTCCATGTAAACGTAGCTATTGTCTGCCGCAACTTTGATTAGCTTGTGATAGCATTAGGGTCAAGCTAGGTAATGACCCGTACTGCTAGCAAAGGCAGCCATTTGGTTGGTCAGTTGAGGAAGGACCCTGTTCAATGGAGCTCACTGATTCGTCAGTTGAGCAGCTCAACGGGGCTCAGTGATTGGTCGGTTCAGGCCTTGCATACTTGGGAAAACCAGGTGCCGTAAAACCAATGTAGGAGTTGTGCCAACGTTGGTAAAACTAGCAAGAGGAAACCTTTGACCATATTAGGTCATAGGTTGACGTCTAAAAAAGGATGCCAAAAAATAGCATTTTCATTTGCTAACCTACATTTTATTTTGATTTCACTGTGTGAGAAAAGTGTTTCACCAGGAAGTGAAACACCACAGTTTTTCAGCTTCTTCTCATAGATTTTCCTGAGAAATAAAAACCACAAATTCTCACTGCAACAAATCTGTTTGATGTGGTTTAGCTCCGCGGTTTATTTAACAAACCAGTTTCTATTAACCCATAAAACCATCCACAGTATCGTGACTGCATATAGAGCTTAAAAACTGTGAGTTCTAAGTGTTGGAGGGCAAACCTGAGTGTAAATTGTGTTTGGGGTTGGATTATTTCTTCAGCGGAGCGCTGAGGGACTTAAAGCCGAGGCTGCAGCTGTGGCAGAGCCCGAGGAGAAGCGGAGGCGTCCTGCGTTCACGGGATTAAAGACAGAGAAAGGCTCAGAGATTAAAGTGAGCTGCCACACCGAGGCCTGGCCGCAGATTAACCGTGAGTGTGCGGTTCTGTCTCCTCCGCTCACCCTAATTGTGTGTTTTCTTACTTTGACTTTAGCGGTGATGCTGAGCGGGGAATATCCTGCCCCCTCGATGTATTCCCTCTTCTCCTGCTGAGCCTGTGCACCCACCAGGTTGTTGAAGTTGGTGTTCAGGTGGCGCCTCAGGAGGGTTTTTTGAGGAGAGATGTTCAGCAACATAGCCAGCGTGTCCGAGTTAAACCGAGGCTCCAGCATCTGTCAGACGACAACATCAAATATAAGTTGTTTTTCTTTTTTTATTATCCTTTAAACCATTTTAAATATACGTGCTCACTATCAGTCCTCCGTGCACACCGCTGCCCCTCAGGTTAGGAGCGTACTCGGCCAGGTCCACAGATCGGAGCCACTCCATGACGCGGTGGTTGGACCACTGGACCACCTCATTGGGAGTGAACTGGTTCTGAAATGATGTGATCCGGGTTATCTTTGAGACGTCCAACCGGCTCTACTTTTAACTCATTCTTTAAACTTTACCTCGTTGCTGGGTCTGCGTTTGAGGCAGTTTGGGTTGAACTTGTTGACATGGAGGACATGGATGGCACATTTGATGCTGAGGTGGTGCAGCTGGCTGGTCACTTTGAGGAACAACAAGTCGTTCTACGATGGAGGGAAGAGATGAGTGCAGGTACAAAATAAAGGAGTGGAATAAATTTAGACCCCCAAATTTTTGTCCCCCATCGCTCCCCCTCCATTTATTACAATTTCAGACAGCTGTAACTTTCACATAGATGACTCATCCATGTTGCATGCCCAACCAAACCATGTAGTCATATGACATCAAAGCCCCGCCCCCTGACAACAGGAAGTGAAATTTTTTCGCCTAGAATCTCTGACCCTCTTGACCTAATCAGCAACAAATTGTGTCAGAACACAGATAAGAACTTCATCTCGCTTTCAAACACAGACTTTTCAGTGAAAGGCGTGGTCATGGCGGTGCGGCGAAGTCAGACATCACACCGGTGACAAATGTTTGACTCTAAATTTGACATACTTCAGCCAATCTGCACCAGATTCACTATGGTCTATCCTAGTCCACCTCACTACAGGAATGCAGTCCAAATATTAGAGGGCGTGACCTAATTACATATACAGCCATTGAAATATGGTTGGCTCTAAAGCAGAGATTCTTAACCTGTGGGCCGCGAGCGCCACCTTGAGGGCCTCAAAAGAACAGCAGTTTTTAACTTTGGGCAGCAGACAGCTGCGGGACCGCATTGATTTTGAATAAGGTGCAATGCACTTTCTCACCACTAGTAGCGGTAGTGCTCCACTCAGATGTTTAACAACTTTTTTAATATGTAGAAGAATTATTTTAGATACCAGCAGAGAATGGAAACCTATTTTAAATGAAAAGTAGAAGCAAAAATGAAGGTAACCCATCAAAAAATGCCAGTTTGTCACAAATATGAAGTGCAGCTTCTGGTTCTACCACGCAATATTTTAAGTTCAAAACAATATCAAATACATTTGCAGATGCAGCTATATTTTAATTTGCACTTTATCAAATTATTTTTGTAGTTTATTTTTTAAACATTTTGAATGTATTTTAGAGAAACTTTAAACTTATGTGTTACTGTTATTGTTTGTCACTAATATGA